AAGTTAAAATTTATGCGCTCACTACTAAGGTATAGTAGTCTTGCGTCATCCAACTGTGAATAACAAAAATAACTGTGAATAACAAAAATAACAAACATTTAATATATAAAATATTAAATAAGAAATAAAAAATCACAACATAAATAACACTCACATTTTCAATGGCATTTGTTCCGCTTCTTGGCCTCAAAGTTATTTGAGCAACACATTCAGCAAATCTTGTATAACTTTGATTAATTTTCGTCCAGTGGGATTTCAGACTTTTTGCTGTTCTCTTTTCACCTCCATCAAGAACCAATTCGGAAATTTTTCTTGTATTCGCTTCCACATTGTAGTTATTGATTGATTTTTTCCAATAAGTGGATCTTCACTAATCCCTATATAAGCTCGGCACAAAGATGCATCCTCTGCAGAAGAAAAATTACGGCCCCCTTGAACTTCCTTCCAGATCTTCCATTACTGTCAAAAAATAATTAAAATAGTAAGTCATTAAAATAAATATAAAAGAATTAAATTTATTAAACCTAAAAACTAAATAAACCAATTACTCAAAAAAAAAAAAAGAAAAAAAAAAAGAAAAAGACTAGTTAAATATTTTTTTTAGTAACTAATTAAATACTAAATAATTATAAGATTTGTAAATCTCCACTAATAGTACACCGCCTTTGACATCCACACGTTTATTTTCCTTTATTTTTTATTTTTTTTTCCTCTTTTCTCTCTTCTAAACCTAACTCCTCTTCTTCCCCAATTTATTCACTCTGTTCTTACGCAGCCATAACAGAGAGAAAAAAAAAGTGTGCTTCTAATTTCTTCAAGAATTGAAGTAAAACCCAACCCCCTACTTCTAATTTCTTTATTCTTTGAGCCATAAACTCAACCAAGTTTCTAATTTCTACAAGTATTGAAGAGAAAAAAAAAAAAAAAACTCACAACCTGAAGATTTAAAAGTGATGAAGAAGATGAAGAACAATTAGAGTTATTTATGATTTTTTCATTTTTTTTTCTTACCGTTGAAAACCAACGGTCATATTTGCAAATCATTCAAATTTTAATTTTTATTTACAAAAATTAAATTCAAAAGTAAAATTCAAGAAATTTTGTTTTGTTTGAAGCTGGGTCCCATTAAATCAGAGTCTCCAAACCAATACCTAAATTTAGAACCAAGTTTGTATATTTTGCAAAAATCTAAAAATTTAGAGTCCCTTAAAATTTCTTGTTGGTGTTGGATTTTGTTGCACAATTTCTATATTATGCAGCCAAATGGAGTTTAGAGACTCCATTGGAGATGCCCTTAAAAAAATCGTAATTTTTGTTAAAGTGTTAATTCTGATTGGATCCTTAGGGCATCTCCAATGGAGTAAGCAAATCGGGTCTCCAAATTTGAATTTGGAGACCCGTATAGAGACCCGGTGGAATCTTAGAGTTTCTAAAAAATAAAATCTCAGAGTGGAGGGCTCCATAATTTTGAGTTCTCCAAACAAAGTCCAATGAAATACACATGAGTCTCCAAACAAAGTCCTATATTTAGGAACAAGTTTGGAGATTATGCAAAAAACTGAAAATTTAGAGCCCCATTAAATTTCTTGTTGGTGTTGAATTTTCTTCCACAATTTCTATATTTTGAAGCCAAATGGAGTTTGCTTACTCCATTGGAGATGCCCTGCATCTCCAATGGAGTAAGCAAATTGGGTCTTCAAATTCTATTTTGGAGACTCGTATGGAGACCCGGTGGAATTTTAGAGTCTCTAAAAAATAAAATCTCATAATGGAGGGCTCTATAATTTTGAGTCTCTAAGAAAAGTCCTATGAAATACAATGAGTCTCCAAAAGTCATATATTTAGGAACAAGTTTGGAGATTTTGCAAAAATCTGAAAATTTAAAGCCCCACTAAATTTATTGTTGGTGTTGAATTTTCTTTCACAATTTCTATATTTTGAAGTCAAATGGTGTTTGCTTACTCCATTGGAGATGCACTAAAACAAATCCCAAAATATCCTTAGTTCAATACTACCAAGTTTAAAATCACAATTCAGTACATATTTATATTTTTTTTATTACTTTAATACCAAAAACAACTTAAAAGAAAAATACCCTTTCTTACAAAATATCAATTATATCAAAAATATTTTGAAATTACTTATTTTAAAACCAATTAAAAGAAAAAAAAAAAAACCATCCCCTTTCAACCCACCCACCGGCGCCGCCTCCTCCACCGTCGCTCACCGGCCAGATTCAATCTATCCTCACGCCTCGCCGCCGCCGCCGTCGCCGAGGACGCCCGTAGGCCAACAAACCGCCGTCGCCGCCGTCGTTATCCCAAGTAAGAATTAGTTTCGATTTTTTTTTACCTTTAATATGGAGTTATGATTTGATTGTTTGATATGAATATTTATGATTTGATTGTTTTAGGTAGGAATGATCGTTATTTAGTAATGGGTGCATCTAAATTCAGTTGATTTGAGCATTGATATGAAATTTTGTGGGTTGGTCTTCGTTTCACAATAATCGACCTGAAAGTGACGATTTTGTCAAAATTTTCGACATATTGCCGTCGAAAATGATGCATAAATCGACACCTTCCAGTCGATTTTTGTGAGATTATCGAAATTTATTACAGTTCATAATCGACAGCTTCCTGTCGAAAATTATGGCAAAATCGACAAGTAACTGTCGATTTGCCAACATTTTCGACAGGTTGCTGTCGAAAATGAACTGTTATTAAATTTTATGTTATTTTTATTTTTATTTTTTTTTTATTTTTTTTTTCTTTCCTATTTTTATTTGTTTGTTTTTTTATATTATCTATATAAATTTATTTGTGTGTTATTTTCAGGTTTTTGCAGTGGAAGAACCACGTGAACCTCGTATAACCCCGACTGTCTCGAACCGTAAGAAGATGAAGGAATTATCTGATAAGGGCAACGGTAAGACAATCACGACCAAGAAAAAGACCACGACCAAGAATAAGTCTGGGAGAGGGTTCTTCCTCAACGAATCCGGTGCCGGCTCTACCTCTCCCATCGACTGTAGAAGTTGGTGATTCGAGTAACGAACTGGTCGGAGGTCCTGAGATATCGGAATTGTACATAAACTTTAATACGCATATTGCTTATCATATTGTGAACGGAGGTCCAGAGCGCTCAGAGCGCGGCTCAGAATTTCTATTTCGGAATCATGTACACACATACTTTGAGAGGATGGGCACCGGCGCCATTTATTATGGAGGCCATACATAGAATGTCACTTGTACACGCCTCGTACAACACTATGGACGGCCATCTACTTAGAGCCTTCATAGAGAGATGGCAGCTAGCTACCAACACATTTAATTTACCTGTTGGAGAGATGACCATCACACTTGGTGATGTGAGTACATTAGTCGGTTTGCCAATTGTTGGGCGTATTGTATCTTGCGAGCGTTTGATCCGTGATTCCAAAACACAGGCCAGTAATTTGATTCTCAAACTGCTAGGTGAGTACTCGGAAGATGTAGACAAGAGGAAAACGGTGAAGGTGGAATGGTTGAAGGCCAAATTTAGTAAGGTGACCATGAGAGACAGTGCAGAGAAGAGGACATACGCCATTCGGGCGTATTTATTATTTTTGTTGGGGTGTACTACATTGTGCGACAAGACCAGCAACATGGTAAGCGTGAAGTATCTAAATCTCGTCTCTGATTTGGATCGGATCAGCGAGTATGCTTGGGGCACTGCATGTCTTTACCGGTTGTACGATGAACTATCGTCAGCCTCACAAAATTCAACAAACTCGATGGCTGGCTGGCTGACGCTCATCCAATCATGGATTTACGAGCACTTTCCTTATTTGGCGAGTGGCACATTGAAGACGGAATTCGAGGGGCCATTAACCAGCCGATGGGAGCCTCAATCAAAGACTACTTCGACGCCTAAATGAGCTTGCTTTGATTTTTACCTTTGGAAAACAACTAGCTTGCTTCGATTTTTTTTTTCTTTGGCTCCAAATACTCAAAATGTGATTTGTGACGAGGGCTTGATTTATCTTTCTTATTATTTGACGGTCAACCTTTGCTAACAACTTTTTCACTTTGCTCCGTAAGGTTAGTCTTCTCTGGGTGAGTAAAATGTCTCAAATAGTTGCGCAATTGAGTCTTTGCATCGAGATAGCCAGATTGAAAGAGCTTCTGGTGTTCTGATAATTCTTCGTCGATGGTTGGTAGAATGACTTCGTCTGTGGTCGCGACGGGCTCCATGCTCATGTGTTTCCAGTACGAGCCTATTAACTCAAGTCGGATAGGACATTTGTTCACAACAACATACTCATGAAGCTCATGACAACATGGTAGACCGTGGGTTGTTCGGATGGCGCAACTACAACCCTTATCACTCGGTTGCAAGAGTCTCGCCTTGTCCACCTCAACTTTCAGTAGTTGCAGAGCGAATTTTGAGATGCTTTCACGGAGCTCATTGTATATCAACGTTTTGATATCATTGTGTTGTTCGAGAATTTGGTTGTGGACTTTCGTACGCAAATCCACAAAGGTGTCAGTTGAATTACGCACATCCCTATTTATTCGTCCGTGTGCCCCCTCCACCCTACTAGAAGTGTACATTCCAAAATGAGTACACTTATTTGTCCACACCGATGCAAGTCTCTCCTTGTACGGATCCAACCACAAATTAGCTACATATGCTATAGCCGCCGGATAACCAACAAATGTTCTTTTCATTGACTCCCAATCCTCATTGAACTCCTCTATAATATTTCTTTCAATAAGAGCCGAAAAAGCCAATTGAAATTTTTTCCACTTGGTATTGTCCTTTGTGAACATTTTCTTACAATTGGCCAATATATTCTTGTCCACATGCCATTGACACAGCAAGTGATGACTCGACGGATACACATTGGTTACTGCTTTCATTAAAGCAAAATCTCGATCTGTTACAATGCAATTAGGCCGAGGATAATTTCTCATGGCCTCCACCAAACAAAACAACGCCCGTTCAAAATTTTCCGTCTATTCGTGATCCAAGTATGCAAAGAAAATGGAGAACGCCAAGTTGGTACAAGTAAAACCCCCAATCTCAAGAAATGGGAGTCCGTAACGATTGGTTTTGTACGTGCAATCCGTGACGAATGCGTACAGATACGACTGTGCCAACTTAATGCAGTTCGGGTGGATCCACAAAAAGTCGGTAATCTCATTAAACTCGTTCGATCTATGGTACGAGAGGTATTCATCTTCTTTCAACTTGGCGAACAATAGTTGCAATTGAGATCTCCTAGATAATTCATTGAAATTTAACTGCTGGATAGCATTGTAAACTGTCTTCATACCAGTTACATTAGACGGGTCATTTTGCTTCAATAATCTTAGACTTGCCCTTGGTTTCACCATTGCTTTCTTCAAAGTGTGAACAAGTGAAGTCTTATCCTTTGATAATCTTCCGGCATAAGAGTGTCCGTGCAAGTTTTCAAACAAGTTGTGGTTGTGAATACCATTGTGAACAACCAATTTTCACCCAGCATTTTCATCATCCTTGTCTTCTTTTGTCCCATTCAATTTAAACGGACAATTGCATTTCTTTGAACCGGTGCTCCTCTTTCCCGGTCTTTGATCATCTTCACCGGGTACTTTCTTGCCAGCATAAAGGCCCCCACGCTCACAACCAACAATCACATACGATGTCCTACGTCCTCTATTCCTGTCACTCGAACCCGCGATCATTAACACCATTCCAATTCATTTACATACTTCACGAACCCATGGCAATAAAGCTTCTTTTGTTGGGAATTTTTCTGACGTGGTAAATGAATGCGTGCAATCGATCTACACAAAAGTGGAGAGAAGATTAGACATGATTAGACAAGTAAATTTGTAACAGAACAAATTGACACTTAAATGTCGAATTTTGAACTAAGTTTCGACACTTGGGTGTCGAAAAATTAGGTGAAATTTGACACTTAAATTATTATGTTTTTCGACACCTACAGATCGAAATACATGCACAATTTCGACCTGTATGTGTTGAAATTTAATGGCGGATTTAAAAAAAAATTCAAAATCGATGTTTTTGCTCAAAAAATACATGGATATATACCTTAATGGGTTATCCTTGCTCGTAAACTACCATTCTATTGTCATTTGCCGTCATTTTGCAAGTTGTGTAAGGTTTTGATTTCTTTAGTTTTAAGGTTTTTTAGGAGGGTTTTTGGGGAGGGAGAAGAAGGAGGTGGAGGAGGTGAGGGGTTTGTGAGTTAGGAGAAAAATGGGTTTTGAGGGGTTTTGATTGTTTGGTATTGAAGAAAGAAAAATAATATTTGTAATATTTTTTGGTTTTGATTTTCATTAAGGGTATTAATGTAATTTACTATTTATTATCTTATTTTTATCTTTTTTGGTATTGAAGTAAGAAAATTTTGGGATTTGTTTTAGTGACCCTCTTCCAATAGTAGATAGTAGTATCCTAATGTATCTAAGATATTAGTCCCGAATCTTTCTCCCATTGCTATTCAAGCTCTATTGATTTTGACATCCAAAAGTACAATGTCCATAAGAGGAAGGAGCTGATCAAAGTCAGTTGAAAGCATCAACTGCAGCAGATAACTAACACTCTTAACTAACTGGGATGTGACTGGAATATGACGTGGTGACTAATAATTGGAGTTGCTGGATCTAGGCAGTTACAAATGAGAAATTTCCAGATTGATTCCATGCACTATATATGGGAGGTAGAGCCCGGATTGTTAGTTAGAGAACACTCATACACGCACCACAAACACATACTAAAATTAAATACAGAAGAGGAAAGCGAGTGATTAGGAGGAAAAAAATGTGCGAAGAGAGATTTCTTGTAATCTTGTGAGTTTTTGTAATCTATGTACACTACTAGTGTTTTTATTAATAAGCTAGAATCCGTCTCCTCCCCTTTTTCGTAATGATATCGGTTGGATTCGATTAGCTATAATAGGGATTAAATGGCAAAATATGGACCAAACTTTCAATAATCAAATTAAATTTCTATTTCACAAAGAATTAAATTGATGGATTATAAATAATTATTATTTCCACTACAAAATACTTATTGCACCCATGCAAATATTCTCAAATATTATACTTGTGTTTAAAAACGCTTGCCAAAGTTAGGAAAAGCTTTTTCCGCCTCTCTCGCCTTCTCGGCCAAAGGGGTGCTTTCAGTGGCCGTTCATCCTCCTCCGGTGAACGGATTTCTTTGGTGGCAACACCATTGAACTCGTCTCATCGGCGCGCTCAATCCGAGTGTGACTTTGTAGGGTTCTGTCGTCGGGTACGGGAGTTTCGTTTTGTCATCTTCTTCGCAGAACTGAGGTATTGAACGACGGTTTTTGGTGGTGATTGTGAGTGAGGTTGATTCGTTGCTTCGTGGGGTGGCCGGATCTACATTTTCTTGGGGTTTGCTACATTTTGGTGGCTAGGGTTTGGTCTTACGTGGTGTTTTTTTGGAGGAGATAGGGCGGCGGTGGATTGACGGCCATTGTTGCCGACGTAGTGCTGACGGCACCGTTAAGGTTCCGGCGAAACTTGGCGGCTAGAGTTTTTCGGAGACTTTGGCGGCTAGGGTTTCAGTGGCTTGGCGGCTAAGGTTCCTTGGTGGGCTTTGACGGCTAGGGTTTGGGTAGATTAGGTTTAGGGAGTCACAAGGGGTTAGGGTTTGGCGGAGCCGCAATGGCGAGAAAGAAGGTCGCCGGAGGGGGCGGAAAAGGAGCGACTACGGCTCCCTCCGTTGCGACTTCTGAAAAAATCCCGACGGAGAAGACGACGGCTCCAATTCCACATGCCGAAACATCAAAGGCAGGTGAAATCTGGGGTCCTACAACGGGGCAAAACTCTGATGATGGCGAGCGAATGAATTGGTCCCAATTCTTTACAGACAACCCGCCACCATCGGAGAAATTGGCATTGGATTCGGTGGACGGTTTGGATGACACGAACGTCCTCCGATTCGAGGAAGAAGACGAAGTAGATTGGGGTACGAAGGGCGTGTTCTTGGCCGTTGCTTACTTTCCGGGGAAATTCCCCGGAATTGACGCCATCCGCGCAATCAAGACGCAATGGGAGGCCCCGGTGAAATTCCAAATCCATCCTACGGGGTGGATCGTGTTCAAATTCACAACGGACCATGATCGGATGAAGGTGGTGGAGACGGGGAAGTTCGAACATGGTTTAGCGACACAATATATCTGCGTCATGCCGGATTTCTTCAACTTCGAAATCAACGATATGATGTTTGTACCGGTTTGGGTGATCCTACGCAACATATCTGTGGAACTCTACAACAAAAAGGCGTTGAGTAAGATCGCTCAGAAGATTGGCAAACCGGTCCAAATAGACAAAGTCACGAGTGAGATCGGCAGGTTAGGGTTTGCACGACTCCAAGTGGAGGTGGATGCGTCCAAACCATTACGACGATCGCTTACATTGATCAATGCAAAAGGAAAGAGCTATGAGGTCCCGATTGAATATAGCTACGAATCGGTGTTTTGTTCGAAATGCCAAACCCTTACGCATAAGACGGATCAATGTCGAGCGGAGGCTGTGCTTAAGCGAGGAAGGAGCCAGAAGCCCAAACCGGTGGTGAGTGTTGCACAAGATCCACTGGTGACTGCGATTTGGGCAGGCAAACGGACGGTGATTGCGGATGATACGGTGGCGGAGACTGTGGCGGAGGCCAAAGATGGATCCGTGGTTGGAGAGGTAGGAGTATCGGATGACGCCTCTACCGATTGCTATGAAGTGGACAACGACGACCTAGGTTCGTTGGTGGAGTTTAATGCCCTAAACTCACCAAAAACTCCTGGATCAGCCCCCAAGTCGAGGATTACTACCAAGAAGAAGTTTCTCCCTCCGGATGGTATCCTTTTGCCCAAAGAGGGAGAAGTAAGCTCGGGTCTTCCAACCGAGCCGGCTTTTGTGGAAGAGGAGCGTGAGGATGTTGAGCCGCGGGGGGGCCATGTCCCCCCACGGTCGAAATGATTGTTGGATGCTGGAATGTGAGGGGGTTGCTTAACTCCCTCACGCAAAAGGAGGTCGTGGACCTCATTGGTAAGCACAAACTTTCGGTTTGTGGCTTATTGCAAACAAAGATCTGGGACCTGGGAACACTGAACTCTGTCATGGATCGGCGCTAACCTCAACAATTTCCATCTCCACACGGCAGGCCGGATTCTAATTGTGTGGAACCCGGATGTGGTTCGGGTGGAATTGATTGACATGACGATGCAGGTGGTCCATTGCAAGGTAAAATGTATGGTCACCAATCGGCTATGCTATGTCAGCTTTGTGTATGGACTTTTCACGCCGGTTACGAGACGGCCGTTGTGGCAGTCACTTATGGAGTTCGGGACGGGCCTTACCTCGTTGTGGCTTTGCTTGGGTGACTTTAACGTGGTTCTCAAACCCACGGAAAAGTTGGGAGGTAATGTGCTTACCCCGTATTTGCTGAATGATATACATGATTGTTTTCGGCACAGTGGATTGGAAGACTTACCTTCAACGGGCTTCCACGACACTTGGACGAACCAAAGGTGTGGAGCAAGCTCGATCGTGCGCTTGTAAACCAAACTTGGCGAGACGAATTTGAGGGTAGTTCGGCACAATTCCTCCATTTTGGGGCGATGTCGGACCACACTCAGATAATTGTGAAACTTGGAGGAACAGAGCCCCCGGCTTCTCGGCCCTTTCGGTTTTTCAACATATGGACCCAACATGATGATTTCCAGCACAAAGTAAGGGGGGTGTGGTCGTCCAACCAAAGGGGTAGCCGCCAATGGGCTGTTTGTAAAAATCTCAAGGCTCTTAAGCATCCACTTAAGCGCCTAAACCGACGTGAATTTGGGCATATTTCGGAACGGGTCAAACGAGCGGGTGGAGGAAATTCAGTAAGCCTACCACAACGATCCCCACAATCCGCAGCTATGTGGGGAGATGCTGGCCAAAGTGGAGAGATTTCGGTTCTTGGCGAAAGCAAGGAAGAGTTTTTTCTACCAAAAGGCGAAACTTCACTATTTGAGAGATACGGACCGGACGACGAAATTCTTCCATGGTATTGCTAAACGTAATGCCAAAAAGAATAATATCGTCTCACTTCGCAAGGAGGATGGCTCGGTAACTACCTCTCGAGACGAGGTCCTTGCGGAATTTGAGACATTTTACAAGAATTTCTTGGGTACCCGGGTCCCCTGCGAACCGGTCGATCCTCACATCATTGCCACCGGACCGGTTCTTGGGGAGGAAGATCGGGCGAGTTTGATTCAGCCCGTGACGGATGTGGAGATTCGGGAAGCCCTTTTTGATATTGCGGATGACAAGGCGCCAGGACCGGATGGATATACGACTCTCTTCTTCAAAGCTGCATGGTCGACCGTGGGCCCCCTCCTCACGGAAGCGGCTTTGGAGTTCTTGTTGGGAATCAGACACGTGTACGCAGCGGAAAACAAAAATTTTATGCGATTTAAACAATTTAAAACACATAAACACATGCCCGATAATTGAAATCAATTAATTGCGTACCTTTGCGCTTCCAGCGAAATTAAAAACAACATACATGCTTAATTATTTTACCGAATTTAAATCAATTAGCATGCTCGCGTTTAAATCAAATAACATGCTCGTAACATATAAATCAATTTCATGTATCCACATAAAATCATACAAGAACGAACATACATATTTAATTTAAACATAATCGAATTCATCAA